CAAATCTATTTTTATTTTTAAGGTATCTTCTTTCCTTTTTCAGCAGTTTTTTAAATCCCTCTTCTCTTTGGAACATAATTTATGACCTTTTGGACTCTCAGATTCTAAACATGTAAGGAAGGAAAAGAGGAAATTCATACTTAATAATTATGTGCTAATTAATAATTAATTAATTATGCCATGCACTTTATATTCAAATTTTTATTTAATCCCTGAAACAAAGCATTAAACTAGGTGTTATTATCCTCAGTTTCACATAAGGAAACTGAGACCTAAAATAGTTAAGTGACTTTCCCAAGGTCATCCAGCTAGGAATTGGAGGAGCTGAGACTCACAGCCAAGTCTTTAGAATTCTATGTCTATTGATTTACTTACAGAAATCTCTCCTTCGTCATAATTTCCAGCAGGCATTCCACTCTTAGCTGGTTCAGAGTTACCAGTGCATTTGATTCATGTTTTTGTTCTTTGGTTGTTGAGTAGTTTGCATCGATATTATTTGTCTTAGACTGTAAGCTCCCAGGGACAGGGACTATCTCTCCTATCTGGTTTTGAGAGCATTGTAAACAGATATGTTTATAATAAAGGCATTGAGTTTCCTCATTTCTTGATACAGAATCCCAGAAATACGTCACTTATTTCTCTCTGTCTTTTTTTTAAAAATAATTTTGAGGCATCTCAAATCATACTCTGTAGGCCACTACTGACTTTACCTGCAAATGAAATTTGTTCTAGCCATGGAATATGTATTCAAATATGCTGAATCTCCAGACTTTTTGAGATCAGATAATTGGTTTATTTCAAATTCCAGGTTCAACGCATAATCTTATCCAAGACCTTGGACATACAGGCACATTTTCATTTATTCATTTCACACGCAGTTTTAGCTCCTACTCTGTGAAAAGTACCATGGTAGCAAGTAGGGCCTCAGGGATGAAGAGGGCACAGCCCTCTACCTTCCGCAAGGCACATGCTCCAAAGTGCTCCCTTTCTTCCAAAAAGGCAAAAGCATCATCATAGATGCAGGGTCTCATCTTTGGCAGTTCCATTTGCAATTCAGGCACTACAGGAGAGGATTTTTTTTGTCATCTCACCAACATCAGGCTGAACAGGATCTTCTCTGGCCTTCTCCTAGCCTTAAGATATGACCTGGACCCTGAAATCTCTTTTTTTGGGGTGTAGCAACAGTCCCATCCCATTACTTTCTTGTATTACGCCCCCACCCTTTTTTTTTTTTTTGCTTGCTGCTCACCAACTTGGTGAGTGTGTTTATGAGGTGGGAGAAATTATACATGTTTATTCTGCAACAAGAATTTTGGATAGTTTACAAGGAGCAAGGAAGGAGAGGAGATACTCCTCGGGACATGGACAACCTGTAGCAAGTTGCTAGTATAAATTCTTTCTTTCTCTTAGAGACTGTATTTCTATATATGAGCCATGATAAGGTGATGGGTAAACTGAGAGAGAAGGACCCCAGGTTCCCTCAGCTTTAATCAGAGCAACTCTGCTTCTATTTTTTTAATGTGCACCCCTCTATTAGCTGACCTTGATGTAAACAACTCTCCAGATTAAAGATGCTCTTTATTCCCTGTGCAAAACATTCTGGTTAATGGCCATGCCCAAAAGAATGTTTATAGCTAGTAGGCTACATTTGAGTATGTCCACACAGTTATGATCCTGTCCTGCTAATTGTGTTGTCACCTTACCAAGAGCTAATTATGTTTTTCCCAAATTTTTTTTTGGCATTTTATTTTTTGTTGTGCATTAGGTGAAAGTTTACAGAGCAAATTCATTTCCCATTCAATAGTTTGTACATAAAGTGTTTCATGACATTGCTTTCATTCCCCACAATGTGTCAGCACTCTCTCCATTTCCATCCTAGGTTCCCGTTTCCTTTCATCCTGATTTTCTACTCTTTCCTGCTTTTTCATCTTTGCTTTTTACCCTTCTGATCTAGTATAATTGATTGTTCTAAGGAGCACGGGTGTTATTGTTTATTTTATGGGCCTGTCTATGGTTTGGCTGAAAGGCGGTCTCCAGGAATAGCTTCAGTTCCAGTTCAGAAGAGTGTCTTAGGGTCATAATCTCGGGGGTTCCTCCAGTCTTTGTCAGACCAGTAAGCCTGGTCTTTTTTGTGAATATGATTTTTTTGTTCTACAATTTTTCTCCTGCTGTCTGGGACCATCTTTTTTGATCCCAGTCCCAAAATTTATTTGTGTTAGTTTCACTTGTGATTGCAATTATAATTTAATTTAGTTTTAAATTATAGAAACGAATACACTATGAAGGCAAAAGAAAGTTGCTGTTTCCACAAAATCTAAGCTGAATGCATTGAAAAGACTCAACAAAGGTAAGTCACTAAAACTCTTGTTGCTGAATTAAGTGTAAAAGATTGAGGGAAAATGGAATTCTATCCAAGGTGGATTATACACTCAGCTTGCTTTATAAGTATCTAAGTTCTCACTTCACTTTAAAGAAACTGATGCATTATGGGTGAGGTTTATGCAAGAATGACTACACATAACTCAATCAATGGCCTCAAAGTCAAAGAAAGAGTCTGGACCCTACTTCAAAGATTAGCTATAGAATATATCTTTACATGTGGCAAGTCAAAATAAAGTATTCCAAATAATAAAGCATTATAGATATATGTGTGTTTAGTGACTCTTTGCTTTAAATGACTTTTAAATATAATTAACTGTTTTACTTTTCTAGGGTTGCTGTAACAAAGTACCACAAATTAGGTGGCTTATAAGAACAAATATTTATTATCTCACAGTTCTGGAGGCTAGCAGTGCAAGTTAATGTGTCAGCTGGGTCATATATCTTCTGAAGTCTCTCTTGGCTTCTGGTAGTCCCAGATTTTCCTTGACTTTTGGCAACATAACTCCAATCTTTGCCTCCATCTTCATTCACATGGCTGTTTTTCATCTGTCTGTCTCTGTGTCTCTTCTTCTTGTTGGTAAGAGTACCACTCAGATTGGATTAGGACCCACCCTATTCCAGTATAACCTCCTGTTAACTGATAACATCTTCAAAGACCCTATTTCCAAACAAGGTCATGTTCACAGGTACCGGGGGTTATAACATCAACATATCTTTTTGGGAGACACCATTTAATCCATAACACAACCCAATATCAGATCCTGATTACATTGACTAAGAAGGTTTTTATTATACAGATTCCTGCTTAAGATTTTATCTAGAAGAAGTAGAAGTAGAAGAAGAGGAAGAGGAGGAGGAGGAGGAAGAAGAAGAAAGTAGTAGCTGTCCCTCTGCTTAAAAAAAAAAAGAATTTAAAAAACTTGGTCTCCAGTGCTTCTCAAACAATCTGTGTTAAAGGACTTTTTTTAATTTTCAAATTTTTATAGACTGATACTTTGCAAAATAAAATAAAAAGATATCATGGCAGTGAGAATTTGCTCTACGTTTCTAAAAGCTCACTTTCAATTTCTGAACTTATCTCACCACAATCTTGCTGCTGAGCAGTAACAAACAGTCTAGTGATTGGCATAGATCTGTAAATCACACTTTGAGTAGCACTGACTAGACTATCGTGATGCCTGTGTAACCACAAAACCACAAACCCAGCCCTGGAAGGTGCTATAAAACAGACAGCCCGATTCATTCAACCCAGACAGTAGAACTTGGTGGGCTAATTTCTGGCGGTACCAGCTGCATGAAAAGCCTAAAGTTTCCTCTGTGATCATACTCTAGGCTATTACACAGATGTATCATAAAAGGGCCCAGGAATCATCCTAATTTCCATACTCACATGAAAACTCTTCTAAACCTCAAGCCCCCATATTTTTGTGTATATTTAATACTCCGTTTCTTTATTTCTCTCTTGATTTATTTTGGACTCTAGGTACCTATGTGGTACAGAACTTCCAAGCCTTCTGTCTCAGAACATTTTAATCTCAAACATGTCCCATATGGTCAGGGTGCGGGGGACAGGTTATCTAGGATGTGGAAGTTAGTATAACTGTTTCATGGATTGTATCACTTGGGACACTAAAGCCCAGAGAGATTAATTGATTCATCTAGGATACTCAACAAATCGGAAGATAATAAACTAAATCTTTCTGTTCTGAAAGATGGAAACTTCTTTATTCAATTAACTCAAGGCTAGGAATACAAAGATTAATAAAACACCGTCCCTGATCCTTAGAAAGCTCAGTGCATGTTGAATACGATCAACACATATCCTGATAATTACAATTCATTGTGGTAAGTGATATAATAGCAGAATAAAGTGCTCTCAGAGCCCAGAGGAGAGAAGGGAATAATTTTAACTCGATAAATGTGAGAATTATGAAAGAATTCACAGAGGATGTAATACTTGAGATGAAGCCTTAAAGAAAGTGTCCAGTGCCTGTAGGAAGACAATGAGTGGAAAGATATTCCAGGAAGAGGGTGCAACGCGTACAAAAACAAGAGTCACGCAAATCCGTAGAATGCTCAAAGAATGACAAAATGTTTGCTATAGCTAGAATGGAGAGTGTGTCGAGGATAGTGGGGCAGTAAGTGATGCTCACACTCCTGAAAATGTGAGTCCACGTGGTATAAGGCCTTAAATGCAGAAGAACTTGATCTTTGGTGGGGATCATCTGTAGGGTAAGTGAAATGATTGCTTCTGCTTTAGTTCTTTTTTTTTTTTTTTTTATCCTGGTACATGCTTTATTTCCTATGGGAGAACTGAAGATGAAAAATAAAAAAAATGTTTAGAACTTCTATTTGAAAGAAAACATCAACTTTTGGAAAGATTATGTCTCAAAATCCTACTGTTTATTGTTTTTCAGTAATTAAATCTTGGTATCCTCTCTAGAAAATTCTTGACCAACTGCGTTCTATATTTATTATCCATTATTACCCATTACGTTTTGTTTTTCAATGCAAGCTCTTCCAGTGAACCATTATATTCTTACTATACTTCAACTGCACAAAAGCTTTAGAAAAAAATTTCACAGAAGCATAGAAAGCAAGCAGCATATGTAATTTTTTTTTACTAAATCAGCATAACAGACTAAAGCTGCAATATCTGCTTTCATATTACATTTGGCAAAAACAAAACAAAAAGCACCCAAAAAACCCAAAGTAACAAAAGTCCCAAGGAAGTAAGGATGACAAACTTTGTAACAACACAAAAGAAAAATTCAACACCTGTTCGCTCAGTGATTGCTGTTGTCAATCTGGGCATGCAGCAAATCTGTAGTTAGAACTGTGATGGAAGTGAAACTATTTCAAGAATCTGGACAGTACAGGCAGTTCCCGGATTACGAACGATTTCCTTTCCTAAGTCTGTCTCTAAGTCGAATTTGTATGTAAGTGGGAACAGTTAGGTACCCTTCGTATCTAACGTCACTTAGTCAAATGTTTGTCTTAGTATATCGTATATAGTGTACCTTTCTATGCATAAAAAACATTAAAGAAACACTTCTGGATACACTAAAATATCTTTAACATTGTAACACAGTAATAATAATAATGTTTTGATGTGCGTTGCAAAGTAGCACCCATTTGTTATTATGAACCATTGTAGGTACCTCGAATTTTTAATATAATGGGCTTTACAGGGTTGGTTCATAACCACGGGTTGCATGTAAACTGGATGTTTTTAAGCCGGGGAATGCCTGTATCCTAGTTAACACTAATTCAAAAACTAAGAGGAAAGAAAATAACACAATGAGACACCACACATACATAAACATGAAATGTTAGCTTACATAGTTAGAAAAAAGTTAAAAATAAATTAGTAAAAATAAATTCCCAGTAGAAACCCAAAAAGCATAGCTATAAATGCATTCTGAAACAATCAGTTTAGTGAGCTGGTCATGTTTTTGCCAGAAAACCTCTTTCATTCTTATTCTTACACAAGCAAATAACTGGAGAAGCAGGTCAAAGTACATCAGAAGAGAGTTTAAACGTGGTTGTATCTGTGGTATTTTAGATTCAACTTTTCCCCAATCACTTCAAAGCTTAAACAAACTGCCTGTTACACAGATTCAGATGGGCCAAACAAGTCGTCTGACATGCTGCTGAATGGCTGAGAGTCTATTAGTTGGGTTATTTCATTGTCAAGGTCTTCTTCTGTATCATCTGTGTACTTGATTACTTTTTTAGAGTGCTGGTCTAAAGACAAAGACTTTCTAGAGATTCGATATTGTCAATGCCTGCTCTGTAGTGGATCCTAAGAAGTGTTAGAGCTTGCAGTCTTTCACCTGATTTAGCCAAAGCAGCAGAAAGAAGTGATTTTTTCCTTGTATCATTTGTCTCTTTCTCTTCTCTAACAAGGGAATTATTATGTTCCAACTCCTGATCAATTTCATTTTGTAGTTTATCCAACATAAACTCTAATTTCTGGATTCTTTCCTCAGTAGGCAAGCCCCTACACAGATCACGACCAATTTCTTTAACTGCAATGAAGACACTGTCATCCACACCACCCTTCTTTCTTACTAACTTTGTTCCTGTGTTGTTTCCCCGTTTAGAAGGACTGTTTGGACCACACACCTCTGTGTCACTGCCTTCATTGTCTGACGTGTTGGGTGTGTGTTTTGGTGAAGGTTCTACTAGGTCAGTTCCTGGTTCAGCAAGGCGAGTTTTAGAGACTTGACGCAAATTTAACAAACGAGAGCTAGTGTTGATAATGTGCCTTGTCAAACCTGTTGTTTTATTGACTGACTTGCTAGCATAGGCATCAACTCGAGAAGGCAAGCCTAAGAGGGTTTCCTGTCCTTCCAGCCGGAGGTTTTTCAGGGTTCGGTCCATTCACTTATCAGCTGCTCCACAAAGAGGAGTCTCGGCTAGACACTTTTCCTGACATTTTTTTACCGCAAACATAAGCACAAAACAATCACTGGGAAGCAGCCTTAGTCCAAACTTTTTTCTTACAGTAATCACACCAAGTTGGGTTCTGGGACTGAGTATCCTGGAAACTATGTTTATTTTCTGTTAAACCCACCTGTCCAACAAAATGCTCCTCTTTAGGTAGGACAGAAACCTCTTCCACCAAATGAAGTTCTTTTTCTTTCTCTAAGTTAGTAACTATATGGTGGTCTGGTTCTCCTTCTTTCAAATACTTGAAGTGAATAGTAATGTCACCAAAGCAAAATTTGTCATTGAATCCCTTCTGTATACTCAGATTGCATAGGGCAGTTCTAGTGACCATTGCCATAGGTGACGGGGCTTCCAATCTGAATTTTGAAAGGTATTCCATATTTGATGTAGCTAAGCATCCCAAAGCCACCTCTTCAAGTTTTAAACTAACATGCCCCAAACAGATGAGGCCCCCCAACTTGAAAGGATCCCTGCACCACAGTGCAACATTTAAGTACCTGTGGCAGGTTTCTATGTCAAAGACACAGGTTGCTCTGGTTCTTGTCCATTTTCCTAGCTTATTACGATAAGGAATTTCTGATGATTCCCACGTTTGAGGGTCATCTGAATTGTCCTTAGTAGGGCAGGGACTTTCTGAAGTAAAATCCTTAGCCACTTCTTGCTTTACTAAAAACTGCTTAGATGTTGTCACGGTTTGAATTACGTCCCCCCAAAAATGTGTGTATCAATTTGGCTAGGCCATGATTCCTGGTACTGTGTGATTTTCCTGTATGTTGTAAACCTGCCTCTATGATGTTAATGCGGGAGGGTGGGTGGCAGTTGTGTTAGTAAGGCAGGACATGATCTACAAGACTGGATTGTGTCCTGAGGCAATCTCTTGAGATATAAAAGACAGAAGTGAGCAGTGAGACAGGGGGACCTCATACCATCAAGAAAGCAGTGCCAGGAGCAGAGCGCGTCGTTGGAACTGGGGTCCCTGCGCCGAGAAGCTCCTAGTCCGGGGGAACATTGATGAGAAGGCCGACAGCGAGAAAAAGCCTTCCCCTGGAGCTGACACCCGGAATTTGGAGTTTTAGCCTACTTTGTGAGGAAATAAACTTCTCTTCGTTAAAACCATCCACTTGTGGTATTTCTGTTATGGCAGCACTAGATAACTAAGACGGATGCACTTGCATCTTCTATGTGATCCACATTTTTTGCTTGCTTCTCAGCCGCTTTATCTGCAGGAAGAAGAGGCAGCACCTTCTCTGGCTTTTCAACAAGAGCATCTGGTTCTACCTGATTTGGGGCATTAACAGAAGGCAAAGGAAGTTTCACTTGGGGTCGTGGTGGCACAGGGGGTTTGAAAGTAGATCCTTGGGTGGGTTTTGACACCTGTGCTGGGTCTGTTGTCTCAGAAGTTTTTAGGGCTATGGGTTTATTTCCTTCTTTGGATGGAAGTTTTGGTAGTGGTGGGTGACTTCCTACAACTAATTTATGGTTTAAAACTGGTAATATAGTTCCAAGGGGTTTAACAGGAAGTGCTGTTGGAGTACATTTAGGACCGTGACTCAGTGATTGTGCGTCATCTTGGAACTCATTTGGTGCTCTGACATCACTTGCCAAGTCTTCAAATTCAGAATCCAGGTCTCTATTTTCAGCATCCACTGCCAACCCAGCTGCTTCCTCTTCATAATTTGGTTGGCCTGAACTTGAGAGAAAGTTTTCCTCCAACTGTCCAAAATTATCTTGCAGCACCACACCTTGACTACTCTGGCCAACAGGCCTTTCATAATACACCAGGACTCGGTCACCAGCCTGTTTGATAAGCTTCAGCACTTGGAGTGTGGATGTGATCTTCACACCTCCAAAAGCAATCAGTCTATCTCCCCGCTGAAGATCTGCAATTGCAGCAGGTGAGTTTGGGGCCACAGTTTCAATTATGACATGCCCAGCATACCCATCAGTTGACTGGACAAGACGAAGTGTAAGTCCAACACTTTGTAAATTCCCCTTTACTAATTCAACCTTTTGGCTCGTAGTGGAGTGCTTAACCGTTTGCGCCACTCAGGAACTCTCCGTTTGTGTTTAAACCTCCAAAAACATTTGTCCTAGTCCTGCCATCTTAATGGAATTTCTTTGTTTTTCTTCCCAAACACCACTGCTTAACTCAAGTGTGCAGTGAATATTTGCTTCTCTGTCATAGGATCCAAAAATGAGTAACCTGCTACATTCTAACAATGTAACTTTAAGGCAGCCTTCAGTAAGTGCCCATTGTTGTATATGGATATGCTCGTCTTCGTCTTCTTAGAATCCTTGCGAGGTTTGGAATGGAAAAAACGGCTTAAACCTTTTGAGGCTGAAGCAGCTTGGCTTCTTGTGTCCCTTGTCTCTTCAGCTTCTGCTTCGTATGGCCTCTCAGCCCTCGGGCCTCACGCCCGCATCTGCCCTGCTGGGGCAAGTGTTCCAAAGCTCAGTAGCTCCACCGGTAAGTGCCCGGAGGTACCCCACTCCGCAAGGAAGCCTCATGCACAGACACTCAGCTCTCTCGCTCCGTGGGTTGGCTCCAGCGCCGTCTTTCACCGGTCTCCTGGTTCTGCTGCTGTTGGTTCTCTGCTGCTGCTGCTTCTCTGCTGCTGTAGGTTCTTTGCTGCTGCTGGTCCTCTGTCACTGCCGCACGTCTATCCATTCACAGTTTTAAAACCGCTTCCACATTTTAGGTATCTGTTAGAGAAGCACCCCACCCTCTCGCTACGAAATTCTGTCTTAGTCATCTAGTGCTGGTACAACAGAAATACCACAAGTGGATGGTTTTAACGAAGAGAAGTTTATTTCCTCACAGTCAAAGTAGGCTAAAAGTCCAAATTCAGGGCATCAGCTCCAGAGGAAGTCTTTCTCTCTCTGTCGGCCTTCTCATCAGTGTTCCCCTGGACTAGGAGCTTCTCGGCGCAGGGACCCCAGTCCAAAGGACGTGCTCTGCTCCCAGCACTGCTTTCTTGATGGTATGAGGTCCCCTAGTTTTTTTTTTCTTGTACAATTTAGTACATGGGAATGGTATAGTATTTACCTCAAAGAGTTATTTTGAGGCTCATTAATGTTTTGAAGTTGTTCGTGAACTTTAACATGGTATTATCTATAATGTGTTCTGAGCTATCATCATCGATTCTTCCTTCCTTCCTTGCTTCCTTCCTTCCCTCCTTCCTTCCTACAGTATCTATTATCTCACATGTGGGGTTTGACAGAGTAAGAAGGGAGACAAACCAAAAATTAGAGAACAATTATTAAGCGCTGGCTATACAATGTGAGGAGCCCTGGTGTTACAGTTGTTAAGAGCTCGGCTGCTAACAAAAAGGTCGGCAGTTCAAATCCACCAGCTGCTCCTTGGAAATTCTATGGGGCAGCTCTACTCTGTCCTAGAGGGTCACTGTGAGTCGGAATCAACTCCATGGTAATGGGTTTTGGTTTATACAATGTGAAGAGAGCCCTGGTGGCACAGTGGTTAAGCCCTAGGCTGCTAACTGAAAGCTTCGAACCCACCAGCTGCTCTGTGGGAGAAAGATGTGGTAGTCTGCATCCGTAAAGATTACAGCCTTGGAAACCCTATGGGGCAGTTTATTCTGTCTCATGGGGTCACTATGAGTTGGAATCGACTTGATGGCAACAGGTTTGACCTTATTTAGGGAAAACTGTAAGTGGTGAAGGACTATGGAATAAAGGAGTGTTTTTTGTTAATGTTATTATTATTATTCTTTTTACGGGGAGGTGAGTCTGATTCTTCAAGTCTTGGGCCTGTACTGTGGTTAGGAAATGGATGGGAAGGAAACAATCAAGGAGCACAGTATCCTGAGGCTGTGATCTGCTATGTGCTCATCCAAGTCAAGAAGTTGATCCAGGCATTTCTTATGGCAGAGCTCACCTTCTCCAGGAAAAGCTTTTCCTGCTAAGCAGTTTCCTCAATGCTCCTTTCATGTCCCTGTTCCTTAGACTATAGATGAAGGGGTTCATCATGGAAGTTACGATTGTATACATGATGGCAGCCACCTTATTCCTTTCTGCTGAGTAGGCAGAAGAGGGGAGAAAGTAAACCCCAATGATGGATCCATAGAAAAGGAACACAGCTGTGAGATGGGAGCCACAAGTAGAGAATGTTTTCCATTTTCCCTTGACTGATGGATCCCCAAACATGGTGCTGCCAATAAGGGCATAGGAGACAAGAATGAAGGTAAAGGGGATGAAGATGACTGCTCCACCAATAACTAGGATCAATAAGTCATTGACATAGGTGTCTGAGCAAGCAAGTCTTAAAATGGGTTCCAGGTCACAGAAGGAGTGTAGAATTGCTCTCTGGTCACAGAAAGTCAAGTGGCTTAGCATACTGAGATGCAGTACTGAGACAAAATTGGAGACGACCGGTGGAGTCACTACCAAGATGGCACAGCCCTTGGGACTCAGTAACGTAGTGTTGTGTAATGGTTGACGGACAGCAATGTATCGGTCATATGCCATAGCTGCCAGGAGGAAATTGTCCAGGTCCACCAGCAACATGAAAAAATACATTTGTGTAAGGCATCCTGCAAAGGAGATAGCTGGAGTCTGGCTTTGGATGTCTGCCAACATTTTGGGGACTGTGGTGATTGTGAAGCACATGTAAGCAAAGGATAGATTGGCAAGGAAGAAGTACATGGGACTGTGGAGGTGAGGGTCACTGCTGATAGCCAGGATAATAAGTAAGTTTCCCAACATGGTGACCATATACATGCACAGAAATAGCATAAAAAGCAGCTGCTCCTGTTCAGACCCCACCGTGAGTCCCAGAAGGAAGAATTCAGAGATAGTAGTTTGGTTACCTTGGTGCATGGTTTTGCTGTATCTAAAAAAAGGAAAAACTCACCTTCAGTGTAAAATGGTAACATGATACAAAGTCCAGTCAGGGGACACAATCCTAGATTATAGAACAGAATCATGCTTTGGAACCAGACAGTCCCGGGTCATATTCTCTTTCTATTAAAATACAAGCTCCATGAGGGCAGAGATTTTATCTGCTTTGATCAATGCTAGTACACCAGTGTTAAGGTCAGTGCCTGACACATAGTAGGTGCTCAATAAATATTGGTTGAATTTATACAAGAATGAATGAATAAATTAAAAAAATGAATATTCTGGTTTGCTGTTGTCGTTAGGTGCTGTCGAGTCGGTTCTGACTCATAGCAACCCTATGTACCACAGAAGGAAACACTGCCCGGTCCTGTCCCATTCTCACAATCATTGCTATGTTTTAGCTCATTGTTGCAACCACTGTGTCAGTCCATCTCGTTGAGGGTCTTTCTCTTTTTCACTGACAGTCTACTAAGACTAAGACCAACAAGGAAGAAAGACCTGGCAGTCTACTTCTAAAAAAATTAGTCAGTGAAAACCTTATGAGTGGCATTCTGGTTTACCATTCACTATCATCACGGCCTTGTTATCTGTGCTTTTCTAAGCCTGTTTCATCAACTTTAAAATGCAGACAATACCTACTTTATAGGATTGTTATTAGGATTGCAGGGACATATGTAAAATGCCCATGACTATATTTTAGTTATTGCTGCAGGAACAGTAGCTGCTATCATTCAGTAATTTAGAAAAATTACAGACTCCAAAGGCAATAAGAAACCTCCAAAGAACATCTGAACCAGTGTCTGTCTTTGGGCAGGTGAGTATCCACAATACCTATTTGATGGTTTCGCTTTTTAGGTGCTCCAGGGACAAAGACACCATAATCTCCTTCCAGTACTCATTCCAAAATTTTGTTCTCTAAGTAATTAACCTCTTTCTTACATCTTCTTGAAATTTTCAGTTTTCACATTTCAACAAGAAGAAAGTGGTTACCTGCATTGAATGCTGCTGAGAAGTTATGTAAGAATGTTCACTGAATTAAGCAATGTGGAGGTAATGATTAGTGACCTTAACAAGACCATTTTTAGTAGACTTGATTGGGCATTATCCAAAATGAGGAAAGCGTACGGTAACAGTTTAAGAACTAACGTTTATCGAGGGCTTACAATGTTTCAGACACTCTACTAGGTGTTTTACCTAGATTACCTTATCAAATATTCACCACAATCCTACGAGTTAAGTACAACTACTTATTAATATGCACAATGTGTAGATGAGGAAATCAAAGATAAAAGAGGTTAAATAACCTGATCAAAAGAATACATAGGCAGTGTAGTGGAGTCAGGATTCTGAGCTTAGTTAGTCTGACTTCAGAGCCCTTTTGCTTAACCACTGTGCTATATGGTCACTATACTGCTTATGATGTCTTCCTGTAAATGAAGAGGGGAGTTTCAACAATTAATATTTTTTGAGCATCACCTATGTTCTAGGCACATAATATCTTGCTCATCCAAAGTCACAGAGCTAGTAAGTGGTGGAGTTGGACTTTGAACATTGACTCCAAAGCCACTTTGTAGTATCTGTATAGGTCCAAATGAGAGCCAGTGGACTTACAAATAAGAAACTTTATTCCAATTTACACCTTACCTATGTTGCTCTGAAATCAATTTTACACACTTGCTACTTACTCAAAACCCTGCCATGTCTTCACACAACCTTCCCAGTCTAACACAACTGGACTGCTGTTGTGTAGATTCATGTACTTCTCCTGCCGGTTTGCTGTTTAACTTTGTATTCTCTGTGAAGAAAGAGGTTGGCAGCAGTAATGAATAGTCAAACAAGATTGCAGGGGGAACTTTGCACTTATTTAACAATACGTTTTTTCCCAAATATTATGGCAGTACTCATTTGCATACTAACAAATAAATGTGTTAATTACAAATCAGGCAGGATCAGGTCTGGTGGGACTTCTGCTAGGCAACACTTAGCCATTTCATACGTACTGAAAATAATAAAGTGGCATATTATTATGTACATGTAATCTAGGCTTTTTAAAATGCAGATTGAATTAGCAAAGTTTGACAGTCCACACATCTGATTTGACCTTCGAGGTGCATATTAGCTAGCTCCATTTAACTGTCTGTTCTCATCTGCTCTTCCCAAGATGGCACCATCTTTTACAACAAAGCATATGTCTATCTTCAGTCCTTCAAACTTTGTATCAAGTCACTAAGTTGACACAATGCTCTTGCAGTGAATGTAACGAGCAAATATTTCTGTGTTTGGGATGGGGTCCTCCCATGGAACTTACCCAGATGTTTTGTGGCTATTTCCAAAGCTATTCCAGAGAGAAACAGTTCCACCTCCTTCTCTTAAAAAAAATTCAGTGATTTTTTTTCCAGCCAGAGATATGAACCATTCCTCTTCCTAATATAGAAAAAGACAGAAAAGAAGGCTGGAGTATGACTTTATACCTCAACTGTTTGCATTGTCTCTGCTACTGGATTTAGAATAGGATCACCCTAGGGCTTAGGACACAATCCTCTAGGCTTTTTATTAGAAACCACTCTCAATCCCATTCTTTCTGGACCAGGTCCTCCCCAATGGGATATATTGGCATTTACTAATTTCCTGGTGTGTGTGTGTACGTGTGTATAAGCAAATTTTATGTCTCTGTTATGTTTTTACTATAGTTAGAAAACTAAAATATCAACTTTTGTAGAAAAATTTCTCCCTTTTACATATCTAATAGTGGCTTTTTGCATCTCTATGCAATTCAATAACGAACAGACTCAGATGATTTTTGGAGAGCATTAATAATGAATGCAAACAATACAGAGTGCTTATTATTTGTCAGGCACTATTCTAAGCCATTCATATATATTAACTCATTTAATTTTCATAATAACATTATAAAGCAGGTAAAATTATGATCCGTTTTTACAGATGAGAAAACCGAGGGCAGAAAAGTTACGTGATTTGCTCAAGGGAGCACAACTAGTTGGTGGTAGAGCCAAGGCTCTTAACCAGGCACTCTTGCTCTAGATCCCATGTTCTTAACCACTTATTAAACTCTCTCTCAGTAATTGTGGGGAAGATCCAGGCGGAAAAAAAAGACATGCTGAGAACTTGATCAAAAATTATTTTCTCAAATTTCCTTCCTATCACTCTTCCTCCCGGCAATCTCAGCAAAAGTCCTCACCACCTACTCAACAGAGAAACTCTACCTCCAAATCTTTTAAATGTCCATCTCAGCAACCCTCTTCTTACTTCATGTTACCGTAGAGAGACATCGTTCCTTCTACTAAAGGCCAATCCCTCCACCTGTATTCTGGATCCCATGCCCTTTTGCCTTCTCGGGAGAGCTATAGCAACAGTTAACTTCTTGCTTTCCTACTATCTTCAACCTATTCTTTTCTAATGGGTTCTTCCTTTGGCTTTTAAATATGTTCTAGTTTTTCCCAAATGCAAACAAACAGACAAACAAAATTCCTTGTTACTGAACAATCTCCCCCCTACCATTAAAGACAAATATCTTGAATTACCTACATTTCTGTCTCCATTTCTTCACCTCAACCCACTCCAATCTGTCTCCTGCCCCGCATGACTACATTGAAATAGCTCTCGATAAGGTCGTAATAACATCCATGTTGCTAAATCCACCCTTCTTGGCAACTCAACAGCATTCACCGCAGTTGATCACCCCTCCTTCTTAATGTACTCTCTTTACATGGGTTTTGAGAACGCTCACTCCCTTGGTTTCCTTTCCATCTCTCTGACCATTCTTTCTTTGTCTCCTTCCATGGATCCTCTATATAACTTTTGAATGTTGGTAGTGGTGCCACAGAGCTTTAATTTGCCCACTCTACTCTCTCCATAGAACAAGATTATCCACTTTTATGGCTTCAATTACCTTTTTTATGCTGATGATTCGCAGTTTCTATCTCTAGTTTACGTCTGTCTTCTGAGCTCCAGAACCATACACCTAACTTATATTTCATATCTCCACTTGTATATCTCATTGTCGTTGTTGCTGTTAGTTGCAGTCAAGTCAGCTCTGACTCTTATGTATAGCAGAACAAAACTTTGGCCAGTCCTGTGTCATCTTTATGGTCGTTGCTATGAGTCCACTGTTGTGACTATTGTGTAGTGCCTTCTAACCTAGGGGACTCATCCTCCAGCACTATATTGGACAATATTTTGTTGTGATCCATAAGGTTTTCATTGGCTAATTTTTGAAAGTAGATGACCAGGACTTTCTTCTTAGTCTGTCTTAGTCTGGAAGCTCTGCTGAAACCTGTCCACCATGGGTGACCCTGCTAGTATTTGAAATACTGGTGGCATAGCTTTCAACATCATAGCAACACACAAGCCATTACAGTGTGACAAAATGACAGATTGGTGGTGGTGTATATCTCATAAGCACCTCTCAGTATTTTAAAAACCTTAAAAAAAAGAAACATTGTCTTTGAATCAACTCTGACTTGTGGCAACACTTCAGCACTATCAATTTTTGTCACTTTGACACATTCCTTCTATTTTTCTGAAGATTCAGTTATTTAAGTCCTGTGGATTCTCCATCCTAAATGTTTCTCAAATGTATCCGCTTCTCTCCATCACCCTAGTACACGACATCATCATCTCTCTGCATCTACTTCTGTTCCCTTGAATAATGTCCAGGCTAACACTTTTTAGTGGCTTCCTGTTCCTGTTAGTTTAAGGTCTAGAATTATCAATTACAATTCCTGACCTTCTTCTGAATTTTCATGCTGTGCTACTCTCCCCTTTTCTCAGTTCCTTGAAAGCTCTGAATACCTTCCTGCCTCATTGTTTTTGCATATTTATACTCCATATCTGGAAAGAACTACGCTCCTCATCTGGCTAACTCAGGTTCCTACTTTAGGTTTCAATTCAAATGCCCCTTCTTCAGGTAGACCTTCTCTGACCTCTCGGGGCTAGGTTAGATCCCTTGTAGTGACCTT